AGGTAAATCGTGAAACAGAGGGGTGAGGGAGTGAGCTGCGGCTAGAGGGGGGGGGAAGGGAGAAAGAGAAAGAGAGAGAAAGAGAGAGAGAGAGAGAGAGAGGGGAGAGAGAAAGAGAGAGAGGGTGGGAAAGAGAATGAGAGAGGGAGACAAGAAGGAAGCTAGCTAGAACGAAAACGAAATCAAGAGATAGAGAGAAAGCATACGGGTGGAAAAGAGAGAGAGGGGGGAGAGAGAGAGAGAGAGGAGAGAGAGAGAGAGAGAGAGAGAGAGAGAGAGAGAGAGAAAAGGAGGGGGGAGAGAGGCAGAGAGAAAGAGAGAAACAGAAATAAACGGAGAGACAGAGAGACAGAGATAGAGATAGAGACAAAGAGACAGAGAGATACAATACAGACGTCTTTGAACTGAAGCGTCTGAACAGACTGTGTATTTATCAAGTACGCCTTAAAACAGTAACACATTTATTTTTATTTTGTGAAAACATTTAAACAATTAGAAAAAAAATATAATTTATGAAAACTTTAACAGGTTTTTAAAATATTTTGTTAAAACTTAAACAGTTTAATGTGTCTTGACCGTGTTTCCTTTCGCAAGATAAGGCTGGTGGGAAGGGCCAAGATGTTGTATTACTATCAAACAAAAATGGGCTAGGTCATTGTCCTAGATCAATACAATTAATTTCTATCAGCTCGCAGCTATTGAAGAACAACAAGAAAATAATGATATGGTGTGCCAAACTCTTAGAATGATGTATCCCAAAATAGTACGAGCACTGACGTGTTTAGATAAGTATAAACTTGGTTTAACCTTAATAAAAAGGAGTTATGTAAAGTTGTTTGTTTCGTGTACGCAGAGAATGTGACTATAAAAGGAGAAGGAATCACAGAATCTGGCAAACATCTGATAGAAGAAGAAGAAAAACCATGCTTCGCATCACTGTTATATTTGCACTATGTGTAGCAGTTGCCACAGCAGTAAGGGCATATGTCAGACATCGTTGTGAGATCAGACGCTCGTCAAAATAATTAAATCCGAGAAATAGGCATTTTTGGCCAGTTTGGACATTATAATTTTTTTTTGGGGGGGGGGGGGGGGCTCAACACCTTGTACGTCCTTTCAAAGACACTTTTAAGTGTGGATTTTATGGAAAGCATTGATAAAAGGTACAACAAAGGTAAATTTGCAGTTTCCAAGGTTTCTAAATCTATGGAAGTCACCAAACTTTGTCGGCCATTTTCTCGTAAATTTTACTTCTGAAAGCAGGCGACCTCACATCCTTCAATCGCAAATATCTCGACTTCTATTCAAGATAAATGGATTTTTAAGAAACCGAAAGCAAGGCAAATGAAAAACCTTTAAGATCATACCAATAACTCCATATGCCCAAAAATTGACGAGCGCCTGATTCCACCGCGTCGTGACACATATAATACAGTCCTTTTACTGCTTTAAAAATTTTTAATGTTGATTTTGTTTTGCTTCGTAAATGTCAATTTTTGATTTATTATCTAGCCTGTTAACTTGTTTATTTAAATAATATTTTGTATGAAACAAAACGGGTTTTTCTGTAGGCGCTCTTTTAGTGTTACATGTATTTCTTTCATTACAATGATCTTGAATTGCCTTTTTAAAAAAAAGATAAATCTTCCATAGTAACGGTGTTTCCACACGTTGAATGCTTCTAAAATATAAAAAAAATTAATTAAAAAACCCAAATAACCCACATGCATTAATATATTATTTTTTTATTCTCTTCATTCAGCTGAGATTCAAATAATTATCCATAATGATGTTTACAGCAATTGTTCATGACGATTATCTGTATTAATTATGATTATAATAATTACTATACTACATGTATTATTAGCTTAAACATTGACCTTATTGGGAATGCTTACTTCGGCAGGCTGAAGGGAATGCGTGTCACTCTCATGACCACTGCGACGCTCTCGAATGCTGTGAAAAGGTCAGGGTCACAAAGAGAGGTGAAGGTCTCGGGATAGTGCCGGGATTCTGTACGAGACTTGCAGCAGAAGGAGAGACATGCGCCCCGTACAGGTAAAGTCGAATTAGATCTATCCCTCGCGTTACCGACCCTTCATTCTTGTTTTGTATGTCCACGATTATACGGGGTGCCCACTACGGCTGGGATCGGTCGATCGCCCGACTCGATCGCCTCAAAAACAAACGTGTTTGTTTTCAGTTTCAAGCGATCGAGTCGGGCGATGGGCCCGATCCAGTTGTAGTGGGCACCCCGTATTAAAGATGAATTAAACTCGGCCCTCTGTGAGAGAACTGGTCCCGGCCTAACTCCATAGAATTAACACTTGTAAGTCGAGTAATAAAATCTGGCTGAGTTGCCAGGGTGAAAAGGCCACACAATGAAGGAAAAAATAGTGTAGAAAATATTCTGAAATGAACTAAACAAAAATAAATACTCAAGACAGCTTGTTTACTTGACTTCCATTTTTGTTTCTGATTAAAAGTCTGAGTGTTATTTCTATAGAGTTAAGCAGGGACCACTTCTTTCGAAGAGTGCCTAAAACTCCCCGTACTTCTGAAGAACTTTATAGGTAGAAATATGTTGCGTCTCACGCCCCCCCCCTCCCCCACACCTCCCGTTCCCACACCACAGCCCTCCGTTCAATGAAGGGAAAGCTGCAACGCCACTGTGGCCAGTACAATGAACCCAGGTGTAGAGGTGGGTAAAATCCGGACAACCTATCCGGAAAGCCGGATAATTCTCATTGAAACATTATCCGAATTCAGACCCTTAAACTCTCTTTCCTGACCCGTTTGCCGAAGTGAGTGCATCCATTTGTAGAAGGGTTTCTAACCCGTTTGTCAAAGTTTTTCTAACCCATGAATATGCAAAAGCGGTACATAACATAATATGCTGATGAGGTGAACTAACACATCTTACGGAATTTGCTAAAATTACTCATTGTCCAGCCGTACCCAGGTGATGCACACCTTGTAAGGCAGTTCAACATTAGGGAAAGGGGGGGGTGTACTCAGAACTTTTACTGTGCTGTAAAAGAGCTCTCAACAGCGCAAACTCTGAACGGTACAACCTCTGAACGGTACAATCCCTAAACTGTGGAACCTCTGAACGGCAGAATCCCTAAACTGCGCATCTTCTGAAAGGTGCAACCTTTAAACATAGAAAATAAATTAATTTACAATAACAACAAATTCAAAAGTATAAAACAGAGGAGACAAGTACCTAGTTACTTTTTTCCTTGTTTTTCAATGCAATAAAGATGAAGAAGCACCTGGAGGAGCCTTTGAGGCGACAGGTTGAACCTTGAACCTTATCAGCCACAAACGTTTTAATTTTATATTTTAATTTCATATTTTTATATTGACCGGCAATTATTCAAGACTCTCCCTGCCTACTCTGATGATGATGATGATGATGATGATGATGATGATGATGATGATGATGATGATGATGATGATGATGGTGATGATGATGATCGTTGTACCTGTAGAGATGGAGATCTTTTTTGTGACAATGGCCAATATGCAGAAGCTCTGGGTTCAGATCCAAGGGTGGCATGGTTGGATTTCCTTTATGATCAGCATACTGACAAGGGGCCTAGTGGTGCTAATTTTGTTCGTTTTGTTCGAACTGGGATTTGGGAAAGAATGGATTTTTCAAAGGAGGATGCCTTAAATGATTAGTACCTTTTTTTCCTGCTACTCCGAAAATCAAGCTGCTAGGCGCCTTCCTGGTCACGACTCACCATGAAACCAATCAAAAACAGTTTGAAATGGTTATGGTCCCTATCAGTTTTTTTTAGTACTTGTTGTATGCATCCATCAAGACACTATTTTTAGATTGTGTAATATGTGTGCTAAAACGACCAACCATGTCAGAATCAACACGGGCTGTGAGCTAAGTTGTTCAGAAATCATTCTTGAGAATCGAACTTACTGATTTTGCTTGCAAGTTTTAAGACTAACTATTGCACTGCATATGCCGATCTCATTTAAAGAAGAGACCAACAATATGCTTTAAAAAATACATTAAATATTTTCTTGTAATTTTATTTTCTTCAATTCACAGCCCTTGTTCGTGTCAAAAGGGTCTGACCTGTGAACCCGTGAAGTTTAAGGGTCAACAGCTTTACCAAGTTCGGTGAGTGGAGTGTTTGTTGTACTGTTTTGTTTTACGCCCCAACAAACACAATTCAGATCTTTTGGGGGTGAGTTTTTCGCCACGTCAGTCAAGACCATAAGTGGGGCTCATCATCCCATCAGACAAATGTGGATACATGTAGGCATACTGGATTAAAAGAAACCCCACAACAAACAAACAAACAGACAAATAAAAAAACTGTTAACAGCGAAGTCGAGAGTTATGATCACGGTACCTCATCGAATGAAGAACAACTCTTTCAACATTCCCAACCATGCTCTTTCGTTTCGCTTTCACAACCTAAAAGGCAATCAACAATTTGTTATCCAAAGGCGCGTTTGCTAAATTTAAAGACATATTCTTAAGGCAAAGTACAATTTGGTCGCTTTTAAGGACAAGCGGGCTAACCCAGTTTTCGGGGGTTTCCAGAAATCTTGAATTACACTCAAAATGAGCATTGCCCTACCTATTGGAGAAATTTGGTTTCATTGGTGTGTATATTTGATTGGTCATTGAGAAAACTCTCCTTTTCTTTTAAAGGAACTGAACAAAAGTCCAAAAACGTTACCTTCGATTATCTCAAAACAGCATTTTTCGGGCTAGCCCCCTCGAGCTTAAAGGTGACTATATCACCTGACAGACTGAGATAGTCATAATATATCGCGTGGCCACTGTCAGCAGTGGACATCCCCAATTTTTTGTCAAAGTCAAAGAAAATTAAAAATCCACCTCTCTTGACGTCAGTGCTCACTGTATGATCTAGCCCTTTTTGAGCCACACCGACCAAATACAACCTTCTCGTAATGTTGCCCTACCGGCTTTTACCGGCTTTCTCGCTGTAGAGTCATATCTGCTTTTACCGGCTTGGCGCACTCGCCTTTAGTGTAGGCTTAAAATCAGAACATTCCACTCTAAATCTAAATGCTGACGTCCAAGGTCTTTGTATGTGAAATTTCCTTGAAATACGTCATTTAGTTAAAAATGCCACACCCCCTGCGCCTGTGAAAAACTCTAATGAAATGACTGGTAGCTTTAAAGGACAAACGGGCTAACCCAGGTTTTGGGGGTTTCCAGAAATCTTAATCATTGCCCTACCTATAGGAGAAGTTTGGTTTCATTAGTGTATAATATTATATTTGTTTGGTTATAGAGAAAACTCTTCTTGTCCTTTAAAGAAACTGAACAAGGGTAAAAAACTTTACCTTCGATTTTCTCAAAACATCATTTTTTCGGGATAGCCCCCGTGTGCTTAAGAGCGACCAATTCGGTCCTGGGAAACCATCAGCTGGCCGCCATTTTGGTTCTGCTGCGCTGACCTGCTGACCTATTTATGGTGTTAAGAGGGCAAGAGTGTGGTCCTAGGCTAGAGAAGAGTTCATGCGGATAAGGTCAAGGGTCGGCCGTCGCCCTAGATAACTCAGGCAACAAAATCAGAGTTAATTTTGGTTTTTTTTCCTTTTAAATATACTGGTCGTTCGGCAGCTGAGAGACGAAACCTTTCTGGACCGTTTTCAAATACAATCCCACAATTTTGGAGGGCTGCCTGTAGAGTAAAAACATGAACATTCCTGGAGAAGAGGATGTTACGAGTAACAATTGCTCCAGAGAAACTGGGAATATAGTATTGTTTGTTTTAGTAACAGTTTTACAGCTCTTGCAAGACAATAAGGTCATACAAGTGCCGAAAATTAGAGGTGCTGCAAGAGAGTAGTAAACGCCAAAAAGAGGGGAGGAAAGGACGATAGATGTCTGATAAAAAAAGAAGGAAAACCCCCCCACACAAGAGCACCCGCCAACCACCCACATATAATATTGTTTTTTAGTTATTTGAAATATTCTCAAAAGACGACCAAGAAGGCACGATCGATCACTTCCGGGCGTGTTCCTTTTATCACACATAAATGCTTATCCAAACTGTCGTAATGTTTAAAAAAAAAATTCGAACACATTTAATTTACTATGTTTAGTAATCCTTTCCTAAGTTAACTTTAAAGGCTCCAAATACCCGTTTTTATTCAAGTTACATATTTCCACCATACCTAGCCCGACTAATTTCACTCGTATTAAATCTTCTTCCCACAGACAAATTGGCATCTGCAAGTCCATCGTGTCTGACACTACGGAGTAGACCCCAAGAAGTATTCAGATAAGAAACTTATCGTGTATGATTGTTTTATTAGAATTGTTCAAACACAAAAGAGAAAGTTCCACGTCCAAGCAACTGTACTTTTTACCAAATATATACTATTTTGATTAGAGTCTTTCGGATAGGCGGTCACGACGCCGTCAGCGTAATAAAAGACGAATGATGTTAATCAATAAAACAAGTTGTGTGTTCTGTTTCCTGACAAACAATAAATGTGTTTGCAGGTGAAAGAGAGAAACAGAGAGAGGGAGAGAGAGAGAGAGAGAGAGAGAGAGAGAGAGAGAGAGAGAGAGAGAGAGAAAAGCGGAGTAAAGGAAGAGTTACCCTGTATTCTTTTTTCTGTTTTATCAACGTTCGCTGACACTGAAGCATACCAAAGGCATATTCTGCGCTTTTGACACTTAATGCCATGCAAAATATCCCATTCACTTAACTATCTTAACAAAAGGAGTCAAATTATAAGATCATATTGTAATTGTGAAATCGACACCCAGGGATTTTTAACGTGCGCAACTTGAACACGGGACCTCCGACATTTTTTTGCCCTTATCGGAGAAGGCTAGGTGATAGATCCTGTCATGTTTCGTCGCATTATTCGTTGAATCTCCAACCCTAAGGGAGGTAACGGAATTCACTAAAAATCAAAGAAAAGAAAATGGTTGCGTCCCTTCCTTCCTTTACACCTGATTCATGTAAATCAAACAGTCTCCGTGTACACACACGCTGGAGAGCCCCCCGAGCCCCGTTAGTTTTGCCGGAGACTTCTGTATACTAAGCTGTCCTTAGGGAAACGTAAAGTTGGTAAGCCAAAAATGTCATAAAAACACCCCCAAAACGTCCATGAAGGACCTCAACATTATCCCTTGACATAAGATCCGCAATTTACACAAACACAAGATTCAACCAAATGCACCAACTATTTACAACCAGGTAATCATCGCTACATTTAAGAAAGATAATGCTGGAATGTTCCCCCTTATTCCTGTATTGTGCTGAGATCTGGACTTTAAAAAAATAAAGAAGGAAACAAAATAGCTGCGTCTGAGACGTAGTGCTACAGCAACGCATGGCCAGCATTAGCTGGAAAACAAAACGGGCGAAGAGCAACGTGTTATATATTTTCCACAAGAGACAAACACGGCTTGAATGAAATAAAATGTAAAAAATACAATACTCTGGTGACTTTAAAGAAACTACACCATAGAGAAAGAGGTGCTTGAAAGAAGGATGTGGAGGAAGACAAAGAGTAACATGGATCATCATCATCATCCGGTGCCTTGCCTACTGGCGTGAGCGATCATGGACCTCCACTTCACCCTGTCCTGCGCTGCAGCAATGGTGTCTGTTGTTCTTGCTGCTCCCAACCATGTTGTCATCTTGTCCAGTATCTTTTCCCTCTGTCTGCCTCTGCCTCTCTTTCCATCAAACTTTCCTGTTGTTACAATATTCTCTAATGCTTCTTTCGCATTGTGTGTCCGAGGAAATTTGCCTGTCGTTTTCTTATATTCGTGATAAGTTGTTTTCTATAATTTGCTTCAACCAGGACTTCTTCATTTATTTTTCTAGCTCTTTATTTATTGAAGTGTTATGATCCATAATGTTCTAGGGAAAGAATACAGCAGTGGTTTTCCCTTGCCTTCTGCTGGATTTTTGTACTGTTTACTCCGCTAGCCTTTGTCCAAAAGGACTAACCCACAAGGCAGTGGGGGCAGGTGGCTGGTTTCGGCGCCTCCCTCTCGCCTGACAGTCTCTTTACTGAGCACATGAGGTATTTTATAGAGACAGGATTGCCACCACCCTGTCCCACCTCGCTCTCCAAGACTGTCGCCAGTTGGTCCGCGACTGCTTATTGGTTATTCGCAGCTACTCTACATAATGTAGACCGTTCCACTATCCGCCACCTGTGGACGCAGTGGGTTGGGGATGGTCGCTCCAGCTTTACCCACATGGATGGACAACACAAAAACATGGACAGGCTTGGGTATTGCAGAATGTGCAACGGCAGGTCGCGACCTGCAGGTGAAGGATGGAGTGTCATTACACGTCAACCTCTGAGTCAGAGATGACACCTCCAGGTACCCCAGGTATGGAAGAGTCTACATCCCGATAGACCTACTTGGAGAGCAGAAATTACTGAGGGCAGAAAATCACAAGATGAGACTTTACAAATCAACAATGCCAAGGCCAAGAGAGAAGCCCTCAAGTTCACACTTCCTCAAGTGGAAATGCAGCTTTTAGAGGCTCAGGATAAGGCAAACAATATACTGCCAGACTTGCTCTGATTGGCCATAACAGAAAACAAGAACATCACCTTATGAATGTTCTCTATTTGTCTTTAAGAAATAGTCTCCTTTTCAACTGCATTGGACGTCGTCAGATATTGATAAACTACTATTACTGCCACTATAATAATAATAATAATAATAATAATAATAATAATAATAATAATAATAATATTATTATTATTATTATTATTATTATTATTATTATTATTATTATTATTATAGTGGCAGTAATAGTAGTTTATCAATATCTGACGACGTCCAATGCAGTTGAAAAGGAGACTATTTCTTAAAGACAAATAGAGAACATTCATAAGGTGATGTTCTTGTTTTCTGTTATGGCCAATCAGAGCAAGTCTGGCAGTATATTGTTTGCCTTATCCTGAGCCTCTAAAAGCTGCATTTCCACTTGAGGAAGTGTGAACTTGAGGGCTTCTCTCTTGGCCTTGGCATTGTTGATTTGTAAAGTCTCATCTTGTGATTTTCTGCCCTCAGTAATTTCTGCTCTCCAAGTAGGTCTATCGGGATGTAGACTCTTCCATACCT